ATATTTTGATGGATATGTAAATAGTACATTTTAGGTTGCCTTTAATTAATAGTTTATTATTATTCATATAGTACAGCTCTGCTTCTGAACTGGTTGTGGAACATTCTTCATGTTTATCATGTTGAAAATAAAATGTGTTTGTTCGATTTTAAAATCTGTTTTCTGGTTTTATTTACATTTTACAAAACATCTCAACTTCTCTTAAACTGAACTCCTGTAGAGAAGAAAGCCCTTCAACATTTTTCATTTTAATCCTAATCGTCTCTTGTTTTGCAGACCCAGCGTCAGCTCTGCTGGCGATCAGAACCACAGGAGGTTCTGTCTCCAAGATCCAGATGATGGAGGCACTTTGGGTTGTTTACGGTTCATCAGATAATCTGTTTGGCAACGAATGTGGAGTTTGGATTGCAGAACTGAAACCACAGAACCACCGATAAATCCTCATTTAAACCCCGCCCTCTGCCCCGTCCCCTCCAGTCATCTGCAAACAGATTAAAAATATAATTTTAAAGTTTATTTTTGTCTCTAAAAGTTGATTAAAAACCTGAACCGGGTCAGTTTTTATTTACAGTTTCAAGTTCTCATCTCCTCCCTCCTGGGTGGTTCTGGTTCTGCTCGGGTGGTTCTGGTTCTGCTCAGTGTGCCAGCTTGTGGTGTTCTGATTTATGGAGTGTCTCTGTCTGGACTCACCCGGCAGCATGTGGATGAAGGCGGTCACCTCTTCCACGCTCCACTGCGAGGGGGCGGGTCTAAAGGTGGTTGTGGGCGTGGCCGGAGCGGAGCTGGTGACGGCCGGCGCCGACGCCCTCCTCACCCTGCGAGTCGCTCGGCGTTCCATCCTGGCTGCCATGGCGACGGCGGGGTCCTCCTCTTCTTCTCCATCGTCGTCGTCTTCCTCACCTCCTCCTCCCTCCAGCTCCTCCTCCTCCTCCCTCTGCTCCACCGCCGCCACCCGCTCCTTCCCTTCCTTGTCACGGCGCCCGGCACTCCACAGATCCCGAGGCTGAACGGTGAGATCAGGTTTTATTTTTAAATATCTACATAGAAATTAAAGTTTAAAGTAATTAAAATGATACATATGTAAAAAAAACATTAAATCAGAAGTTAAGAAAACAGTTTAAACACATTTCTAAACTTGTAGACAAACTAAAAAGTTGAGTCTGATCTGAATATCTGGGAAAAAAAAAAAGAAAGCTATAAATAAATGTGGACATTTTAAGGCAAAAACCTTTTAAAATGAAAAGTTATAATTCCTCTGATACATGTTAAATTACCAGAAACAATAAAAAACACAAATAAAATCTGAATTATTTGATTAGTCTTAGCTGCGGATTGAATCTGTAATTATTAAATCAACCAGCAGGGGGAGACATTTCCCTCAGATTCAGTTCAGAACCTCTGCATGGTTCTGAGCAGCTGGAGAGAGCTGAACTGGGTCAGAAATATTTTGGTTCTGAGCGAAGACCTGTTGTGGGACAGCTGAGAGTCATCCCCAACGGAACCTCTGAGGGCTGACGAGTTATAAAAAACATTTTTGTCTCGTGTCAGTCAGAGACGATGAGAGTTTAAGATCAGAGCTCAGGTGGATCATGTGAAGGTTCGGTTCCTACCAGGCGCAGCAGCAGAGGTTTCCCTGGTACCGACTCGGCCCGGTTCAGGGAGGGGCGGGGCCTCTCGGACCGGCTGCCAGCGCTCAGAGCCCGCAGGCGCTTCGTCAGGCGGACGTTGAACCTGTGGGACGAGACGAGCTGAAGCTTCGATGCACGAGTCTCGCTCCTGAACGCATCTCCAAAAGTGCACGCACACACATCACTTCCTGCCAACACCACCACACAACGCTTCTGTGCAAAAGTCCTGATCCAGTCCTCAGTTCTGTTTTTTTTCTTCTTCTTATGAGCTGAAGTAGCTTTAACTTTGAAACCCAGGAGAGAAAAACAGCCAAAGTCAGAAGAGACAGTTGATCCAAAACCACTTTAAAAGGCTAAAGGACGTCTGGCAGCTTTGGAGGAAAATCGAAAACAATTTTCTGTTTAATTCAGAGTAAAACCTGGGTTTAAAACAGACACCCCGTGGGCCATTTTGACCCAAGGGCAGCAGAAGGGTTAAAGTAAAAAAAAAGAAAAGAAAAAAAGCAGAAGATAAGCTAAAAGCAACAAACTAGCAGCTAAAAGCTAAAATTTACAAGCCATAAGTAAAAATGGTAAAAAAGAGCTAAAAACTTATATGAATATATGAGTAGATGTGAACCTAAATTAAAATGGTAGCTGAAAGCTAAAATAAGCAAACAGTAGCTTCAAAAGTAAATGAACTAAACTGTAGATGCAAGAGTATATTAGCTAAACTGTAGCAATAAGATTAGCTAAACAGTATCTATAAGAAAAAAAGACCAAACAGTAGCTATTAGATTAAATTAGCTAAACTGTAGCTATAAAATAAAATGTGTTAAATAGTTGCTAAGGGAAAAAAATCAGCTAAACCTTAGCTGAAAGACTGAATTAGCTAAACATTAGCAATAAGATAAAATTAGCTAAACTGTAGCTACTAGATAAAATTAGCTAAACCGTAGCTATAAGATAAATTAGCTAAACCATAGCTACAAGACTAAATTAACTAAACTGCAGCTATAAAAATTGTTAAATAGTAGCTATAAGATAAAATCAGCTAAACTGTAGCTGCAAGGCTGAACAAGCTACAACTTTCCTAAGAGGTAAAATTAGCTAAACTTTAACTACAATATTAAATTAGCTAAATTTTAGCTACATTATTGAATTAGCTAAGTCATAGCTGCAAATTTAAATTAGCTAAATTGTAGCTAAAAGCCAAAGTTAGCAAAATTGTATCTAAAAGCTAAAACGGGTGCAACAAGACAAAAATAAAAAAATAGCAAAACAACGAGTGGATTCTGACCCAGCAGGAAGTTCTGACTGTTTGGAAGGAGAACCTAAAGAACCTAGGACCGGATCAGGACTTTTCCCTCTGTGAAACCAGCCTCCTGCTTCTCTATGACCCCATCGGAACCCGTCTCACCCTCGGGCGCAGGAAGTGGAGCAGAAGCGTTTGGACCTCATGAAGTTGTGGGCGTGGCCTCGCTTCCCGCAGAACTGGCAGTGCAGCACGGCCCGGTCCTTGTGGGCTGGTCCTGTGAGGGACAGGGACACGTCGGGTCAGTTCTGGACCAGATTACAGATCAAACTCCTCGGCTCCTGAGAGTCTTACTAGTCTCGGGTTCGTCCGCGTCCCCTCGTCCTCCGTCCTCCGAGTCTGTGGACGCCTCGGTCGGTTTCACCGGTTCTGTGGCGGGCGGCGCCGCTCTCCCGTTGGTCCCGTTCACTTCCTGCGGTCGGGTCACCTGCTCCGGAACCAGCAGGGATGAGCGGTTCACCTGGAGGACGGGACAGGTGAGACAGAACCTTAGAGTTTGTTGTTCTGCTGAACCCTGCAGGTTCTGACTCCTCGGTTCTTCAACCTGCGGATCGTAACGTTCTAAATATTTAGGTTTTAAAAATAAAAATCTTAATTTACAGAAATAACGACTGGAAGAAAGCACGCAGCGATCCTGACAACTGATTACAACAAACTTGACAAATTTGAAAAATAAATGCAGATTTGAAAAAGTTTCTTCTAGTGGAAAAAAATTAAAGTAAATAAATAATAGTAAAAAAATAAATAAATGACTCCTCAAAAACATTTCCTGAATATTTTCCAACAGGAACAAGAGCGACATGGGAAATAAGCCGATTTTACTAAAACATTTTTTCTATATTTTGCTCATATTATTCTACGGTACTTAATAAAAAAAGTGGTACAAAATCTTTTACTTTAAGGGGAGATTTTAGACAGTTTTACAATTTATTTACTCATAATTTCAAAACAGTCTTCATAAAAATTACCAGATTAAAAAAAATCCCATCATCTGGTATGAAAAAAATATATATATTTTCTAGTAAAATTGAAATTTTTTTTTTAAGAAGTTTTTTTAATCAACCTTTTACTTCATTTTTTTAAAAGTATTTTTTGGTTAGTGAATAAACAAATTTTCCTTTTTTTTCTGTTAAAAAAAAAAAATTCTGGTGAAAATTAACACTAATCCAGAAAAAAAGTAAAGTTCGCCTAAAGAAAATAATTTTTCTCTGAGGGGGGGAATAAATAAATCATTTGAAATTTAAAATTTCAAGATGGGGAGAAATATTAAATAAATACTGTATTGTTAAATTTTAGCTACATTATTGAATTAGCTAAGTCATAGCTGCAAATTTAAATGAGCTAAATCGTAGCTAAATATATCCACACAATATAATAAATATATCAGTTTTTTTTTTTTAAAACAAATCAATTAAGAAACAACACAAAATCTTTCCCCTGACCAAATAAATAAATAAAAATAAAATTTTGCGTGACAAGAATACTAATGAAAGAAAATAAAGTTATTCATCTGCGAAACTAAGGGAAGTATCTTCCAGTAACTTTAGCCAAGATTAAAAATAGTTTAAATATTTAAAAGGTAAAATGTTCTTTATTTTCTGTTGTTTTTCGTGACAGAGAATAAAAAAATATTTGTGTGGAACGTTTTCTGTAAACAAAAAAATAAACATTTAATCAGTTTTAGAACTTTTCTAAACAGAACCCTTTCAAACCCGGTTCTGGACTCACAGGAAACGGTTCCAGCCCCTCCTGGATGACAAACCCTTCCACCAGGTGAGTCAGCACCTGTCGTCCTTCAGGCCACGCCTTCATCTCCCAGGGCCCGCCCAGCGATTGGCCGCAGCTCTCGGACTCGTCCTCTGATCGGCAGAGAGGCTCCGTCTCGGCGCTGGGCCTCGACTCCGGCGGCGTTCCGTCGACTTTCCTGGCCTCGTGCCGCAACAGGCTGAGGTCGGTCGGGCGGGTGGTCTGAGGCGGTAGGAGGGGGGGAGGGGGTTCTGATGAGGAGGTGACGAATGGTGAGGAGGGGGGTGACTGGGAGGACAGGCTGGACAACGCTGAGGGGGGAAAGAGAGGTTAATCGTAAGTTTTAAATAAATATAATCACCTTTTTGTCAATTAAATAAAGTTTCATTTTTAAGGAAAGTCTGAGGTGAACAGAATGAACGTCCTGATGACCTCATGTGACCCCATGTCTGGGTCATGTGACCCCACACATAATGCAGATTAACACCTGGATGTCAAAAGTCTGCCTCAGGTAGGTTTACCAAAATCCTTGTCAAGATTTTAATCAACTGAAGAACAAACGTTTATCTAAAGGCAGCTGAAAGGAAGCTAAAACTAGCAAAAGCCTTCTCAAAAATAGCAAAAGCATGTTATAAGTAGCAAAAGCTTAGCTGATAGTGACAGAAGTCAAGTTAAAAGAAGCAGAAACGTAACTAAAAACGCTAAAGTCTAGCCAATAGTAGCAAAAGCCAAGTTAAAAGAAGCAGAAAGCTAGCTAAAAGTAGAAAAAGTCTAGCTACAGAAAGAGGTCTAAAAGTAGCAAATGTCTACACTAGTTACAAACATAGCAAAATCCAAGCTAAAAGTAGCAAAGGCTTAGCTAATAGTAGCAGAAAGGAGGCTAAAGTCTAGTTCAACATAGCAAGAGTCTAGCTAAAATTAGCATAAAAGGTATAAAAAGTTAAGTCAAGTCAGTTTTTTAGATTTTTCTACCTGGATTTTTGAGCATGCGTCAGGACAGCATAAAGGTAGCTACAAAGAGCTAGTCTAGTTGAAAATAGAAAAGTTCAAGCTTCAAATAGCAAAAGCTAAGTTAAAAGAAGCAGAAAAGTAGGTAAAAGTAGCTAAAGTCTAGCTAAATGTAGCACAAGTTTAACTAAAACTAGCAGAATGAGAGCTAAAAGTATCAAAAGAAAAGGAAACCTGAGTCGGTGGCTGAAGCAGATTTTAAACAGAAACAAGTTTCTAAAGAGCTGAAGAGATCTGAACTGATTTGTGGTGAAAATGTTTGTAAAGAAATTAAATATTTTGAAAAAGTTACAACAACCAAACGTCACAGCAGCTAGCTCCTGAAAGAGCCGAACTTTTGACGTATGAACAGCTAAAATAATAACGAGAAGTTAAATGTTTGTAAAATCTCAGAAAGTTCTGGTCTTTAGGTTTGAGGGTTCTGGTACCTGACTGATTATCGGACTGGGTCGACATGTTCTCACAGAAGTCCTCCTGACTCACGGGCTGCAGGTCCCGGTGAGGCTCCGGCACCTTCTGGTTCTGGACTGAAACCTCTGGAACCGTTCGTGGTCCTGGAACTGGTGTCTGCACTGGAACTGGTCCTGGAATGGGTGTCTGGACCTGAACTGGTTCTAGAACAGGTCTCTGGACCGGAACTGGTCCTGGAACCAGTGTCTGGACTGAAACTGGTCCCGTTGTCTGGATTAAAGCTGGTCCTGGAACCTTTGTCTGGACTGGTCCTGATGCCTGGACTGGTGCTGGTCTTGGAGTTTGAGATGAAGTGGGACCCAGGTTGAGTTTTGATTCCTCTGTGGAGTCTTTAATGGTATCAGGTCTCTGGTTCTGATGGTGGACCTGCTCGGGGAGGGTCTCGGACTGATCCATGGGAGTCTCTCCCTCCTCCTTCCTCCTCTCTCCTTCCTCTGTCACATCCATCTCCTCCTCCTCTCGGTCCGGCTCCTCCTTGGCCTCAGTTCGTTTTGTCTCTATCTTGTCTCTTTGGACGTCTTTGTCCACCTGGACATCTTTACCAGAGCCCCCTTCGTCTCTGGTTGTCTCACTGCCGTCCTTTGGTTTTCCTTTCTGGGTCAGAGTTTGTGTTGGAGGGCCAGTTTGACCCAAAGGAGATCCTGGACCACAGTGAGGAGGAGCAGAGGACGAGGAGGTCAGAGGAGGAGGCGGCGAGTCTTCAGCAGGTCTGGAGACGGACTTCGGCTGTCGACCCGACGACAGGGCGATGATCTGAAGCTGCCGCGCCGCCGACGGCGTGCGCTCAAACTGGTGGGGGGAGGGTAATGGTCCGAGCTGAGCCGAACCCAGCTGAGGCAACGGACAGCTCTTCATCCTGGTTAGAGGTCTGCTGGTGGGCGGGGCCTGAAGGGGCGTAGCAGCGGAGGCGGGGCGCAGGGTGGAGGACTGTCGAGGAGACGCCGCCCGCTGAGTGTTTGGAGAGTGGAGCCTCGGTCTCAGAGGAACGGCTCGGACCGGAGAGTACAGAGCTGAAAATAAATAAATAGATTTAAAGAGACGAAATAAAAACATGTAAACGTCGTTTTAGAGTTACTGAGAGAAAAACAGGAGATCTGCTGTACAGCTGAGGGGAGCCTACATTTGGAGGTTTGGAGGACCTGAGGAGACCAGGTGTTAGAGGTTTTAGAGGAAGTGTTGTCCCATTCTGGTCTGATAACTGGTTCTAGTCAAAAGTCCTGGATCTTCTCTGCTGGATGGGGGCGGATGCTGTTCTGAAACCTGTAGATTATCGTCTGCATTGATGGGACCTTTCCACATGAGTAAGCTGCCCATGTCAGAGGGACTAATGCACCCGTATACCATCAGAGAGGCAGGATTTTGAACTGTGAGCTGATAACGGGCTGGATGGTCCCTCCAATCTTTGGTACGGAGGGCGTGGTCTCTGCGGTTTCAGTTCTCCACTCTGCCTCAGTCCATTTGAAATGAGCGTTGGTCCAGAGGAGACGGCAGCGGTTCTGGATGATTGGCGGGTGATATGCATCCATTTAAGAAATGCAAGGCTTTAATTTTACAGTTGTTCATTGCAGTGATCGAATTTAGATTTAAACTAGAGTTTAACTTTAAACTCTATTTTTTATTTATTCAAATAATTTGTTCTTAAAACCTACAGGAGCAAGTTCAAGTTGATAGGTCACTAAAAAAGCTTAAAAACAAACAAAAAAATGTTTTAAAGCAACAACAACAACAAAAAAAAGTCACATTTTCTTGTTAAGGGAATTTAAAAAACATTAACAGTTTAAAATATAGGCTAAAATAAACCGACAGATTTCTTTTAAAAAATAAATTTACAGATAAAATATTGTAGATTTGAACGAAGCTGTTTGAGAGTAATCTGTTCTTAGAGCAGCTCCAAAGCACCTGGGGTTGAACCACCGGCTCCTCAGGGTCCAGGGTGGCGGCTCGGGGCTTTTGTTTACCTCTTTAACGCTTGTTTTTTTTCTTAATTTCTCTGTTTTTTATTTATTATAAATAAACAGAAGTAGAGGAGTAAAAGATTCCTTACTCGGAGGTGGGACGGGAAGGTGGCGAGTGGGCGTGGCCAGACTCTCAGTCGCCGTGATGCCGGGCTGCGGTCGAGGTCTGAGAGGTGGGAAGGCGGGGGCGTTGGGACGAGAGAGAGGTGGCGGGGCGGAGGAGGGGGGTTTCAGCCTGAGGGAGGGGGGGATGGTGAGGGTCCCCGGGGGAGGACGCCTCAGGGTGAGACTCTGGAGCTGTAGAGGACGAGAGCAGAGACAAACAATCCGGTTAAAACTTCTCCCACAGCCAGCAAACGTCCAATCACAGCTCAGCAACTGTTGCTAGGTGGAAAAAAACAAGACAAAAACAATGTTTTACTCAAACGGAGAATCGGAGAATCGGAGAATATTTTTATGAATTTTTTTTTTTTTTTGCAAATGAATAAAATAAAAACAGTGATTGGCAGAAGAATTTCTATTGTTACCTTACAACGTGGACTTTATTAAGACATTTATTTGACTTTAATTATTTTTTATACAAAACACTCCAGATTTATTAAGTCACACAAGGAAGAATTTTTTTTTTAGATGATATTCAAAAATAAAAAAACAAAAAAAAATTAATAAATGCTAATGTATTTACACCCTAAAAGTCTATTTTGTAGATTATTCGCCCAGTTCCTGTCTCTGGAAAACCATCCCCTAACCCTGATCCTACCATTACCGTATTCAAGCATGATGAGGGTTTATTCCTGTATCTCACTAGACTATAAACTACATTTCAAACAACATTCCCGAGGGAGTTTCTAGAATGCTGAATTGCAAAGTTTCCTAATGTGCTCAGGCGTTCCACAGGGCCTCGATCTCGTGTCCCTGGAATTTTGAACACGTTCAAAAACTTTTTCAAGCAAATTTTCTCTTAAATTAGTCAGAGTCATTGCAGGTGTCTAAATAAAACCTTTACCAGTTTAGTGTGTGTAATTGTAAAACTATATTTTGTCAACTACGTTTAAAATATTCAGGCAAAGTTCAGTCCAAATTTTGTCGGGTATTCATGCAAATGCATTGTTTAGTGTGATTCCAAGTGAAAATTTGCATATATTGTGTCTCCAGCCGTCTCGGTCCAGTGAGATACCACGTCGCCAGACTTGGCCAAACTGGGTGTGGTGAATGCAAATGTTTTTGCATTCACCTTTCTGTATGCAACTCAGTGACTTTTGCCAACAAACATCCAGAGTAAATATTTCTCTTTGTAAACTACACAAATAAAAAGTTTGTTTCAGCCAAGCAGAGGCGTGTTTTATCGAACGCTTAACAAACAGGCGTGCACACGTGAACGTCAGGGGGGCTCACCTGAGCGGAGGCGGGGTTAGAGGGAGGGGCTGAGGAGGAAGAGGAGGAAGAAGATGGCTGAGCAGGTCGCATAGCAGACGTAAGAATCAGCTGCACAGAAATCAGGAAACAAGAGGAGAAAAAGAAGAGGAGGCGGCAAACAGGTGTGCAAAAAGCATGTTAGAGATAAATAGTCTAATCTCGAGTAAACTGCTGCCTTAATCTCAACAAACATACGTTTTTGTACTTTTACTGTTTCATTTACTTTAAAGTAAATAAATAATTTCACTCAGAGTGTGAACAGATAAATCTGTAAAACTGTGGAATTCAGGGTGGCGGGCGACATGCATTCATTCAAGGACTGCTGTTTTGTGGTCATGTTGAAGCTTTGAGACATAAAATGAATTTAAAAAAATCAGCTTCCCTCTTTTTACTGTTGATTTAACAACATTAACACAATGCATCTGAACTCTCAGACGATATAAACTACAAGAAACACAGAAAATCCTCACATACAGCACTTTTTAAATCATTCCATATAAACATTTCTGATGGGATTTTCAAATTCTGACCCTTTAAACGCCTGAAACTCGTGTCTCCTGATGCCCCTGAATGCAGCATAAAACTGACCTTCGCCCCTGCAGCTGGCTCATTTTCATTCTGGTTCTCCCCCTGAACTTCCTGCAGCGACATGGGTGTGTGTGTGTGAGTGTGTGTTTACCATCTGAGCTCTTAGCAGCACCTGGTCCTGCCCAGTCCCTTTGAAACCTTTCCCCAGGAGCCTGACAGGTGAGGGGCTCTGATTGGCCTGAACAGAGCCAGGTGTACCCACTGGGTGAGCTGCTGACACCTGGAACAAAGACAGGAGAGGAGGAAGAGGAAAAAATATAAAGAAATATTCTTTAGTGTACTTGTTTCACTTTCAGCTACTATTTTACTAGCTTAAGCTTTTTGCTAATCTGAGCTCTCAGCTACTGTTTTAATAACTTTAGCGGTTTTATTTTGAGCTTTTAGATACTGTTTTGATAAGGTTAGACTTAGCAACAATTTTGCTCATGTTTTAGCTAGGGCTTTTCTAATTCTAGCTTATAGTTACTTTTGCTCATTTTAATTTCAGCTAACGTCTTAATAGCTTTATCTTTTAGCTAATGTTTGCTAATTTTAACTTCTAGCTACCATTTTGCTAATGTTAGTTTTAGTTATGATTTTTACTAATTTAGTTTCTAGCTACTGTTTTGCTAATATTAGCTTTATCTATAGTTTTGCTAACCTTAGTTTTTAGCTAGGGGTTTTACTAATTATAGCTTATAGTAACTATTTTGTTTATTTTAACTTCCAGCTAATGTCATGATGGTTTTATCTTTTAGCTACTCTTTTGCCAATTTTATTTTCTAGCTACTGTTTTGCTCATTTTATCTTTTGTTTAGCTACTTTTAACCTAAGTTTTGACCATTTTATCTGTAATATCAGCTGAAAAAAAATCAGTCATTCAGTTTTCTAGGTTTTATAATCATCTTGTTCCAACCACAACATATAATAAAGTTTTAGCATTCCTTAAGAATAGTTTTAGCTATTTTGGCCATAAGTTGAATAATGATCTAGCTGGAAGGAGGAATGAGCTCTTATTGCTTTTGATGATGTTGAAGAAGTAAAAACTAAAATATAAACAATAAAAACTACTGACTTCTGTGTCAAATCGTTAAAATATGATAATTATAAAGAACCGAAGGCTGGATCAGGAAGCTGAGAGAAAATGTTTCGGCTGTCGAAGCTTCACTTCATGTGAAACTTCTCAGATGAAAGCAAACAGAGAGGAAACTGTAACCCCAGACAGTCGGTCTGACACATACGCTCTTTGGTTTTTAACCCTTTGTGTCCACGACACCACTAAAACCCAAAAACTGCTCAGAACCGAGTGTCACTGTGGACTGGACAAGGAAACAAACAACGTTTAAAAACACAAAATAAAGCAGAATGTTTGAAATTTCAGCTAAAACTGAACCTCTACTGTGAAGTTTACCAGTTTTTGGAGGTAAAACATCAAAAAGATGTTTGCAAACCACCAATGAACGCCCACCACACGTGGAGGGACTTCAAAGTTATCGTCGGAGCACAAACTAGTTAATGAACCAACATGACACAGGTCAAAATGTTTGCAAACCGCAGTGGAAAAATGGCTACCATGAGATAGAGGAGGACTATGGGAGTACACAGATCTGAGCCCAGGCTTCCTGACAATTTCACCACTTTGTCCCTGGTAAGAGGATAAAAACCTTCATCGTCGTCGGACTTGAAAAGCACGAGAGCAGCGTGGGAAAGCCGAGCCGGCAGGTCAGCAGCTTCTCCGGGGCCAGCCAACGCCATCAATCTGAGGTCTTCCTTCACGGGTCACTGAGGAGCCTGAAAAGTTGCTTAGTGAAGAGCAGCTAAGCTAATGCTAGGCTAATGTTTAAAAATACTGGTAGTGACTGATTTCGCCACTAATGTCAGCGTTTAGTGAAGTTTCTGAGCAAGAATGGTGTTTCTCTTGCGACGAAAATGGCTGTGGTCATGATCGTTACACAGTGAAGCACGGTGGCGGCAGCATCATGATATGGGGGAAGCTTTTCACATTGTTCTTGGGAGCTGGTAATGTTTTGCCAGAAACTTTCAAACCAACTACAAAAAGGTGCCATTTATGATAAAATTTAAAAAAGTAAATTAATGTAGCACTTTAAGGGGTTCCTCGGTGGTCCAGACTTCAGGCCACCTCAGAGTCTCTGGTGGATCTACAGAGTACGGACTCTGAGGGCTTCAGTTAAAGCTTTTATTCCTTGTTTTCTTTGTTTGTTTCACAATAGGATATACACTGAACAAAATTATAAACAACACTTTTGTTTTTGCTCCCATTTTTCTCGAGCTCAATTCAACGACACAGGTGTGCCTTAGGCTGACCACAATAAAAGGCCACACTAAAATGTGCAGTTTTATCACAGCACAATGTCACGTGTTTTGAGGGAGCCTGCAATTAGCATACTGACCGCAGGAATGTCCACCGGAGCTGTTGCCTGTGAATTGAATGTTAATTTCTCTACCATAAGGGGCCGAGATGGTGTAGGGGCAGGGCAGTTGACTCGGGACCCGAAGGTCCTGGGTTCGATCCCCGGTCATTGCACATCTCGTGGTGTCACTGAGCAGGACATCCAATCCCGAATTGCCTCCCGGGCAGCTTACATGGCTGCCCACTGCTTCACCTGGGTGCATCCAAGGTGCGATGGGTTAAATACAGAGAGCCAATTTTGTCTTTCTATGGGAACATGCAATGATGACAACATATAGCACTTTATTTATTTATTATAAGCTGTCTCCAAAGGTGTTTCAGAGAAATTGGCAGTACATCCAACCAGCCTCACAACCGCAGACCACGTGTAAAGACACCAGCCCAGGACTTCCACATCCAGCATCTTCACCTCCAAGTTTGTCTGAGACCAGCCACCTGGACAGCCGCTGCAACAATCGGTAAGCATAATGAAAGAAATTCTACACAAAATTTCAGAAACCGTCTCAGGGAAGCTCGTGTGCATGCTCGTCGTCCTCATCAGGGTCTCCACCTGACTGCAGTTGGTCGTCATAACCAACTTGAGTGGGCAAATGCTCACATTCAATGGCGTATGGCATGTTGGAGAGGTGTTCTCTTCATGGATGAATCCCTGTTTTCACTGTACAGAGCAGCTGGCAGACAGCGTCACGGGGGTGAGCGTTTTGTTGATGTCAACGTTGTGAATCAAGTGGACCATGGTGGCGGTCAGGTTTTGGTACAGGCAGGCGTTATGCTTTGGCCAATGAACAAAGTTGTATTTTATTGATGATATTTTGAACACACAGAGATACCGTGACGAGATCTTGAAGTCCACTGTTGTGCCGTTCATCCCCGACCATCACCTCATGTTGCAGCAGGATAATGCATGACCCCATGGTGCCAGCATACTCATCAGACGTCTCCCATTGAGCATGTTTGGGCTGCTCTGAATCGACGTACACGATGGATTGTTCCTGTTCCTGACAATATCCAGCAACTTCACAGCCATTGAAGGGGAGTGGACCAACATTCCACCGGCCACAGTCACAACCTGATCAGCTCTATGCAAAGGAGACGTGTTGCACTGCCTGAGGCAAACACCACGTACTGACTGGTTTTCTGACCATGCCAGACTCCCCCAATACAGTAAAACTGCACTTTTTAGAGTGGCCTTTTATTGTGGTCAGCCTAAGGCACATCTGTGCAATAATCATACTGTCTAATCTCTTGTGAGGTGGACGATTATCTCGGCAAAGAAGTGCTCACTAACACAGATTTACACAAATTTGCGAACAATATTTGAGAGTTTTTGCGCACATAGAAAAAGTTACAGATCTCAAAAGTTTTGTGTTTATGTTTTTGTTCAGCACATTTTTATCGTCAGAGGAGCTTCTTCATCATATAACTGATGACTCACCTGTCTGCCAGGTGGGCTGGCCGGCGTGTGGAATGGCGTGATGGGGGTGGGGGTGGAGCCTGGTCGAGGGTTCCCGTTGGTGAGACTGGTGGAGGTCTTGGTTGAGACGGTGGTGTTGCTGTGCGCCACAGAGGAGGGTGGAGCGGCAGCGGCTGTAACGGCAGAGGAAGAGGTGGTCTGTGTGGGGGCGGAGGCTTTGAGGGAAGGGAGGATGGGGCGGGAGTAAGTCCGCAGAGTGAGTGGGGGTTTGTGAGGAGCAGGGACCAGAACGTGAGGGGACAGAGCGCCGCTAGCCGCCGCCACGGCCTTCGGTCCTCCATGGTTGGCGGAGACAGAGGGAGCAGGGGTGAGGGGGGGCGGAGGGGAGGAGGTGGTGGGTGTCAGCGTGGGGGCGGGGGAGTCCAGGAGCATGGGGTTGGGGATGAGACGCGGGGGGGTGGGGGTCGTTGGCGTGGAAGGGGCGGGGCCATTGGAAGTCTGTTCTGATTGGCTCTGACGGAGGAGCTCCTTGTCCATCATTCAAGTCTGAAACAAGCTGAGAAAAACACAAACAAAAACAAGTAAACAACAGCGTAAACAGTTTCTACTTCAGCACTTTCAGCTTCTTTTAAAAGGTAATAAAAAGTTCGGCTCGTTCAGCATGTTTCGGCTGTGACTTTAGGTTTCTGTTTAAAAAAGATGTTTAGCTTTATTTTGTTCTCATTAGAATAAATAGGAAGAAAAGTGAAAACTGAAAACATGTCAGCTTCAGATTAAGCTTTTAGCCACTATTTTACTAGTTTAGACTTTATGCTAATTTGAGCTCAGCTGCTGCTGTAGTAATTTTAACTTTCAGCTACTACCAATTAGCTAAATTAAGCTTTAGTTGCAGTTTTGCTAATGTTAGACTTAGCAACAGCTTCTCTAGTGTTTACTTTTAGCTAGTGTTTTGCTAGTTTTAGCTTATAGATACTGTTTTTCCATTTTAAGTTTAAACTAATATCATAGTTTTATTTTTTTAGCTCATGTTGTGCTAATTTTGACTTCTAGCTAATGTTTAGCTTATGTTGTTTTGGCTACAGTTTTACTAATGCTAGTATGCTAGTATAGTTTTGTTAATGTTAGTTTTTAGCAAGGGTTTTCTTATTATAGCTTATAGTTTAGTTCATTTTAATTATCTGCTATCTTCTTAATAGTTTTACCTTTTAGCTAATGTTTTTCTGATATTAACATCTAGCTATGGTTTATCTAATATTATTAGTTTTGCTAATGATAGTTTTAGCTACGATTTAGTTTTTTATAGCTTATAGTTACTGTTTTGTTCTTTATAATTCTCAGCTAATGCCTTGATAATTTTATTTTTAGTTAACGTTTTCATAATTTTAACTTGGCTACTGTTTTGCTGAATATAACTTTAGTTTTAGCTTCTTTTAGTCGATTTTTATTGTTTTACCTGTAATATCAGCTGAAAGAATTATAAATCATCTCGGAATCACTTTCAGCTACTACCACACCACGTTTTAGCCCAAGATCTGTGAGTCCGGCTAACTTTTAGACATTTTTGAGTTTGCTAATGTGGATTAGCTGTGGTGGCCATCTTGTATTGGGTTCAGAAGTAAATCTGACTCTTTCAGTCTCTCATGGCTGTGGAGAAGTTTTGGCCCATCCTTATTTCCAGCATTGGTTCAGTTCATACAGATTTAGTTACTGCTCAGCTCTTTGGTCCAACCACAGCATTCTTTTGTATTTTATGAGTTTTTATTCGTATTTAAAAGTGGAGATAAGCCGTCAGGCGGCTCCGTCTCCAGCAGTTTCCTGCCTCAGGCTAAAACTTTATCAAACCGTCCAACGAGCGGAAAAATACGGGTTTGTAACAGGAAGAAAATAAAAGCAGTCAAGACTTTTTTTTTTTTGTCTTGGAAAACCTTTTTCTGTTTGCCCAAAACGTTGTGTTTAAACAGCAGGAGTTTGATTTCAGTCCATCAGATTCTCCTGCAGATTTGTGCTGAAGATCTGACTCCAACGTTTAGATCCATCTGTTAGAGCTCAGAGTCTGTGTGAGGGATCACTCTCAGCTACAACCACCCCATGTAGCAGAGCTGCAGCAAAAAAGCGGAAGTAAAGAGTAAAATTAAAAAAAGTTTATAGTTAAAAACATAGTCTGACACTGTAAAAACAAATCTATGCTTTGATTTAGTTAAATAACAAAATGTTTAGTGTATAATAATAGTTGAAAAATATCCCGATGCATGCTCAATAATCCAGGCAGAAAAATGTAACAAAAGTCAAGTCCTCTGGATGGATTAAAAATAATTAAAATACAATGAAAAAATATTTTTCTTATTTAAAAACTTGTTGAAAGTTTTTGTCTTTTATCCAAAAGAAAATATTATACATTAACTTTACAGGGTAAATATTTTTACTGTGTAATTTTTTTTACAGTGCAATGTAAAAATGTATATTTACACTGTAAAAATATTTATTCTGTAATATTTACACTCTAAAAATTAATATATACTCTAATAAATAATTTTTACTCAGTAAAAAATAATGTTAAAAAAATATTTAGACTCATCAACACCATCATCAGTTCCACTTGGTGTTTTTGGACCTTTTTAATGGTCATTTGTTGTTCTGGAGCACCACGGTGGTTCTGAATAACCAGATCTTGGTTCCTGTCATGGATCTAAACACAGGTTCGGTTCTGGACACCAGGTGCTTTTTTTAAAGGGGGGTTAAAGTGATTCGTTTACCTGAGTTCAGGTAAATTCACCACAGCACGCGCTGGCAGGTGCCGCTCCAGATGCTGACATCTGGAACCGCAGCCGAACCGCCGTGTGACAGTTAGGCCAGCGATCATCACGCGCATGTGGCTTTAGACCCAGTTAAAGACGGAGCCGGGCCTCCGGAAACCTCCAGGGACCGGCGGGTCGGAGTGAAGCCTCCCCGGTCACCTACCTGCTGGTAGCGGCGCGGTCCGGCGGGTTAGTCCCGGTGAGGTCCATTGTGGAGCGGGCGCATGTTGGTCGGTGAGTCGCTGTTATCTGATGAGTCCGCGGCTCTCAGCCTGAAATGGGCGTGTTTGGAGCCGCGCTTCCTCGTCTGACAGCGCGGCTTCAGCTCCCCCCCCCCTCACGGTAATCTCTGCAGCTTTCCCCTCCGAACGGTACCACCTGTGGTTCGGACTCGGAGCCCGAACCTAGAGATGCAACACGGGGCCCGTTTGAGACAGGTTTGTGCGGATGTGCGTGCGTGTCGCACTCTGCTTATGGGCGCATCGCAGCCCCGGTTTTTCCCCGCAGAGCTGTCCGTGAATCCGGCACCTGGAGCGGCGGGGGTCACGGGGTCCGCCGGTCCTCCGGTGAACCTGGAGCGGTCTCACCTGCCGGGTCTGCGGCGGGAATCGGCCGGCTCGGAGCCACCGTGTAGAGGCTGTAAGGGGCCTGGTCAGTCCGCTGCTGGGAACGATGGAGGGTTTGGAGCTGAAAGACCGACCGGGAGACAGCGCCCCCAGCGGCATGGAGGACCGGAACTACTGGACTTTATGTTATTGTTATGTTAAAAAAAAAAAAAAAACTTAAAAAAAAAAAAAAGTTTAAAAAAAGCAAGTTACAAATATATACTGAAAAAAACAAAAGAATTTATATAAGATTTGTTTTTTTTATTTAAAAAAGCATTTTATATATGTATTTTTTAGATATTTATCTTTTAAAATTTATTGAAAAAAAACTGCAGTTTATATCAGGTTTGTTAGATGTTTACTATTTTATTAAAACATTAACTGCACTAATAATAAGCTTGTTGGTTTTATTTACTTTATTTTATTGAAAAATAAATAAGAAGGTTTGTTAACTTTTTAAAATTCCTAAGGAAATTCAACACAATACAAGTCAAGTTAAATCACTGGACATTATGATAATTTTATTTAAAAATATGTACACTGTACCTTTTATTTAAGTTTGTTAGTGGATGATTTTATTTTTACTTATTATAAAAAATATATAAATGAAAACAATTAAATTAAAGAAAATTAGGAAAACTACAATAGACTGGAAGAATTATTAATTTTAAAACCACTTTACAAACTAAATGTATTATTCTTATCACAATTATTACTAATGTAATTGTTTTAATGTACACAACATGTAATTGCTCACTTGTTAGTTTTTTAAACAACTTGCACATATAGTCTTTTTATTTTATTTTAAAACAACAGTACACACAGTTTTTAAATTTGTTTAAAGTAATTTTTCCCTTAAATAGATTAGTTATTTATTTTTTCTTTTATATATCTATAAGGGTCAGCATTCTAACAAACCAGATTAACAATCAGATAAAACCAGATTTTTGAAATTTACTTAAATAAAATGTTTTCCACATAAAAATACCTCATCACTTTTTTTTTTTTTTAGATTTCAGCTACTGTTCTGCTTTTAGCTTTAGCTCCCATTCTCCTATTTTAGCTTTTTGCTACTTTTAACTACTTATTTTTAGTTTTAAGCTACTGTTCTGCTTTTAGCTTTAAGCTAACATTCTGTTATGTTAGATTTCAGCTACAGTTCTGCTACTTTCAGCTACTTCTCTACTTTTTTTTTTTTAACTTTAGCAGTTTTAACTTTTTCAGCATATTTATGTAAATTCATTCAACTCAGAATGATTCCCAAAACTTCTGGCTTTACATTAGCATCCTTTATTCATCAGAAATCTGTTTCTGGTGTTTGCGTTGTCTTGTCCACCAGCAGCGGACCCACTCTGCGGGAGTAAATCACGCAACAAATGAATAATTAAATAAACTTTTAATGCAACAAACTAGCGTTTGCCTTAACTGACAACAAGCTAACGTCAGTTAAACGCGATGGTTTTACTTCTGTAAAAATAGAGTCAAACATAGTTGCTTTAGTTTCAATTAGCTTAATGTTTTCATAACACGAATTTAAAGCAAACAGAGCGAAATGTCAGAGTCGTGCATCTTCCTCCCGCATTCAACTTTCACATCAAGGAGGCTGAAACTGCCAGCTACGCATGCGCCCCAAGATCTATGCTGAAACAGAGGGGCAGCCATGATTGTAGTTTTAAACGGAAGGCCTGTTGATGCGTTCAAACAACATCATTAAGCTCCGACTTCACAACGTTGCGCATGGTTACGTCTCGCGTACTCGTATTGTCTAATTATATAAAAACATCAGTTTGATTGTATTAATAAAAATGTTTAAAAAGAAAAACTTAAATGCGTAAAATCAAACTGTTGTCTAAACATAAAGGTGATAAAAAAGTAATTATTTCACTTGAGTAAAAAAAAAAGAAATCAATTCAAATGTTGCCTTTATGCAAATTGCAAACATTTTAAAACTTAAAAGTAAAAAATATTTCCTCAAACTGACAAATTATGTTTTAATTTAGATGTTTTTAATTTACGTGCTTTTTCGTTTTTCATCTTGTACGTTTGTTCGAGCTTTTCGCCACAACGTACGATTTTACGACAGTACCTGAAGGCAACGCAGTTCTGATCTTTGTGCGAAGCAGCGAAGCGGTCGCAGTTAGCGGCAAAGGACGACAAGAAAGCACGGAGCAGCGAAACGCGGCGGAGGAGACCGGTTCCGAAACCGAAAACCCACCTGTACAGCGATTATACGGATACGGTGACGATCCTTAAGATGGTAAGAAGACGTTTAAGAGCTTCGGTCGTTGGCTGCCGCTGATATATTCCCTGAGTTTAGCTAAAAAAATGAAGCTAACAGCTAATGCTAAGCCGTTAGCGAACTGTTTTCCTGACTCATTATCGAACAGAAGCCATTTTACAGCAGCCATTTACTGAGTCCTGACCGCAGCTGCTGGCTCTGGAAAATCAGTGTCTGTCCATAAAGACAACCTAAAACATTATATTCGTTTCTGGGCGAGTTTTAGTGAGGAAACCAACGACGTAGTTCGATAAAAAGCTCGTCCAGGCAGCCGAGCTAAGCGGCTAATCCGAAGAAGCTAACACTTCAGTGTTGCGTAGCTGGAGTTAAACTACAGCCCCGACGAGGAAGAACCCCAACAACCATTTTATTCAGCAGATAAGGTCCAGTTAAAGGCTTTATTTCAGGAGGGGACCTGTCTTTTAAAAGAACCAGACCCTGAGGGGAACCTTCTATGACGCTTTGGATTCAGGACCCCGGAGGAGCTGAAAAAATGTTCAAATCTAACATTAAAGCTTGAAGATGAGACATTAGAGTCAGTTTTTTATTATTCCGCCTGACCTCCTCTACCTGGAGAAAAACACGGGGGTTCTTCTGAACCACCATAATGACACATTTTCTCTTAACTGTCACCCTAAAACCTCTAAACTGTCCACAAAATGAGCTGAAGTTAAATGCTGGGTTTATATTTGGATGCTATTGTGAGGCTTTATAGTTCAAATCCTTTGAAGCGTTATGGAAAATAAAACCTTTACTCACACAGTTAAATCAAAACCAAGAGATTAAAACGTTAAAACAACGCTCAGGTGATTAAAAGTCAAAACAAAAGACCTGTGATCAACCAAAAACATTTAGAAGCAGAATCTGCACAGAAAATATTTGTGACCATCTGCTAACTACTACTGTTTGTTTATCAACACAAACAGCCGGTGTTTGTTTATCAACACAAACAGAAAACAGGTCAACAATAAATGGAAATGTCTATGAAAGAGCTGTTTATGTACTACCTGCTTTACAGTACTGCTGAAAAACTATAAAAAAAACTCACTGTACTTTTTTTTTTATATAGCTCAGGATAGTTTTGTATTTGGTTTCATGTTTTGCAGCAAGTAGATTTTAAACAAACGCATATTGTTAAAGTTTAACAATAAATAGTGATGTTCTTTGTTTTTAAAGTTCAGGTCTAGGTCTGTTGTGGGCAACTTTTACAATTAAAATGGGCCAAATTTTACCCATTCGTTCACTAAAATAAATGTAACCGGAGCCATAAGAATTATTAGTAGGAAGTGCTATGGTCACCCAACAAATATATTATTTCATCAGTTGAAATTATTAAAAAAATATGATTTGGTTGAATATAGTATTTTACAAGTCATATATATAAAGCTCATTAAAAATATTACCCCGAATATTCAATTAGAATTTGTTAAAAAAGAGAGTCGTTATAACCTTAAGGGAATGGAAATGTCTGTAAAACCTCCATTTAGAACTAGTCTGAAGGAGCTGCGTTATAATTCAGGGAATGGAATGGTATGGTATATAGTTTATTCATTTTAAAAAAGTACAAAACAATTCCATAACAATATAAAAAAAAAAGAATGGAATTGCCTCTATCACCATAAAAAATTCTAAAACAATTTATATGTCTAAAAAGATGATTAAGGTGAAGGTGTGGTGCCAGGTGAAGGATGCCTGATGTTTTTTGGTTTCAGTTTGGAAATTGTTCAAGCGTAGGTTGTTGTTTGTAGTTATTTTATATATTTTTTTAATAAGGGGTATATATTCTAAGAATTTTTTTCTTCTTTCTGCACCCTTTTCATTCACCGTTTTTTATTTTTGATGAATTTGTTTCGTTTCTTTCTTTTAATTAAATGACTAAATAAATAACCCGAGCTACAAAACTGTGATCATCAACTGATGTCCTGCGGGTCACTTCTAGGTCATCAGGGGACTTCTTTGAGGTCGTGGTACACAACAGACCTGAAATAAATTTGCTATAAATTTACTTCAAATTAAAAAATACATTCGCTTATAAAACAAAATCGATATCGGCCAAAATGGGAATCGGCAGGTCGTACAAAATCGGTGATCGGCCAGAAAACTGCAGTCAGTGCACCCCTAATATTCTTATGTCCAAGAAGAATTCACAATAAGTTAAATATTTATTTACAGACAAACCAGCAATTACCAACTTGTAACATAAATGCTAACTTAACATTGAAAACACTATGGAAGAGCTAACAGATTTTAGCATAATTTTTATCACAGGAAATGTGTTGCGAATAAACATTTCTAAGTAATTTCTAAACAGTCATGTTCTGATAATTTACCATAATTCCTTCTTCTTGCTGCTGACTCTGCTCTTCTGTCTATCCTCATTTTACTGGATCTAAGTTCTGCCTTCGACACAATCTGTCATTCTATCCTCCTCAACAGACTAACCTCCATTGGCATCTCAGGTACTCCGTTAGACTGGTCCAAATCATATCTCTCTGACCGCACTCAATTCATTCAGCTCAAATCCTTTCGTTCCCAGTCTCCCCCCTCTCCACGGGTGTCCCCCAAGGCTCTGTCCTCGGACCCCTCCTCTTCATCATTTACCTCCTTCCTCTAGGTCACATCTTCCGTAAATTTGGTGTCCATTTTCACTGTTATGCTGATGACACAGTTCTACTTGTCAACAAAACCAAACTCCACCCACCCTCCATCCTCAC